TTAATGTAAATTACAATTTTGGTTTACAAAATGTGCACCTCTCTTTGAACATTTATAAAAGCATTGCCAATTTTCCCTCTAAACACTTTCGTTCAATATTCCTCTTTTCCATCACCATACCCCTACTAAGAAGACTACTTCGAGAGCAATTAATAATCTCCATGCATAAGTAAAAAATGATCAAATCCGATATTACAACGGAAAATCCTACCTCTCTTTCTCCTTAGAAGCCAATCACCAAACCAAATAATATTTGTTTTCTTTACCTTGGTTGTCCCAATATAGTTCAGTAGAATAAGAACAATAATTTGTTAATAAGTACGGGATTTCTCTCATTGTATTATACCTATAAGGTAATTTCTTCACTTTGCTTTCTAATGAAATTTAAAAATAGTTCAAATAGATTTTAGAATCCTTAAGCAATGAACGCCAAATAGATTAATCCTAAAAGTACACAAGTCAACTTAGTTTGTTTGGAAAATATCAGCCAAACGAGCTAGTAAAAAGGGGTCGAAAGATCCTAATTAATCAGCAATGATTCTCTTTTTAATTTTCGTCTCGTATTTTATGATAAGCCATATTAAAAATATCCAAATTACCCGTATTCAAGATTAGAAATTAGTCATTTGACCCTGACTATATTTTCTCTAGTTTGCTAAACAATTTTAATAAATCTTGCGGTTTCATCTTTTTTCTTTCTTATGTGGACATGAACCGAAATTTTGGTGGAGAATGAAGACAAAAAGGTGAATCAAGGAAAGCAACTGTGGTCAAAGGCTACATGCACTTGGGTCTGGTCAATGCATTTATTTATTTTTATTTTTTACAGCACACTAGCTCTCAAGCTATTTAGCAACAAGTTTGTGTGCATCCCACTTTTCAATCACAATTGTTTAAAAAATGTCATAAATAAATAATATTATATATATATATATATATATATGGGTGTGGTTTTTATAAGGTTGCAACTTTAAACAATACGCACCTTCAAATTTTATCACATATAATTTTGGTGTAAAAAATTATTAGGATTA